GCCAGGCAAGACGTTTCCAGAGAAGTTTCTCATCATTGTCGGCAGTCCTTTTACGGGAATAAAGATTACCATCAGATTACAGGCGGTCCTCTTCAGATCCTTTCTAAAATTACAAGGTAAGGGAGGACTTTAGGCAAGGAATGGGGTCCCCTGTTACACAGCATCTTCCAGATGTGAATATGAGCAAGGAGGTAAGTTATTCCAAAAGTTTTGCACTGGGAAAAAATCTAGAAAATTTGTTCCACAAGTTAAGTTACGTTGTATAGGGAAATTTGCATTATTTGTGATTTGAGGATGGTAGTGGAAATGTTTCAGTGAAAACGAAGACCTGATGTTTTGGGAATTTTCTCATCCCACATCCCTGGCTACAGCTCCCATTATTTCCAACCAGCATTGACTTTAGAAGGCACCAGTTTGATAACATTGCCTAGCATTAAACCACACTGGAAAAACCAATTTTTGACCAAATATGGCCAGTTTGGAGATTCCTTGGCCAGAATATTGCATTTAAATTGTCCAACTATTAAGAGAGTGCTTACGATACCCAGCCAGAGTTGAGCTTTGAGGCTGAGCTTAATTTCTTCTCTACTTTTCATTCTGCCTCTCATCTTGGAAAAGCATTGTCATTGTTAGGGCACACAGGCACACCACCGCATTTGTAATACAGGCAAGTACAAATGTTGACCCTCAGCAAGTTCACCAGTAGAAAACAGTCTTCTGATTTAGCTGTCACAGATCCTTTCTTTGGTTGACTTTTGCCATCTCAGCTGACTCTAAAGCAAAAGAAAACGAACAACATCTTCTTAATTAGGGCTTTTTCAAAAGGTCTGTGCCTCTCTTTTTGCTCAACAGGATCTGTTGTTAGATCTCACATCTTCTGGAGTTCCATTTTCCTTTTCATCTGGGGATCTTCACCCAATCAATAAACTTCTGTTTCATCCTTGAAGCCATATTTCTGCTTTTGGCTGTCCTCTTTTGAAATAAGTATATTTCTAGTCCAAGCCTTAAAGTAAAAAAAGATCTTGTACAGATAAGTTAGAGCTGTCCTGTAGGATGTCACATAGCTGTCAACTGGACTGCTGCTAACTTGCTTGTGAGGTCATCTGGAAAGGAATCAAAGGGCCTTTTGACCAACATACATCACATCATCTGATGTTATGTCAGTAGGTGGTAGCTCCTGCTGGTCTTGGTGGATTTGAAAGCTTAGAGGACCGACCCTGGTTATGGGAGACCACCTGGGCATTCCACAGTTGTAGGCCAGACTAGGAAGTGAAAAAAACTTCCTGGGAAAAAACAAAGAAAAACCACTTCTATAAAGCTGCTGAGAAATATGACTGGATGGATGCAACTACCCAGGACTCGAGGGCATATCTACCTTTTTATATTATAATGAGTATCATTATAGTGAATTGACCATGACTGGCTTCTAATTCACTTCATGACTGCAGCAAGTGACTTAAGGCAATCCAGCCAGCCTGCTTGTAGAGAACCCCAGAGATAATTTTGGAGAAAGAATGCATCAGTTTGCAAAACATGGTTTAAGCCTGGGACAGTGTCAGCCTTCCCAGGTAGACTAGATAGGAAACACGACCAGATAAGCTAATTCTACTTTATTGTAATGCTACATTAACAGAATCTTGCAATTCTAAAAGTACAGTTCTACTGGCGTCTCCTTTGCAGCCTGAGAAACTAGGGAATGTCTCTTCTGAGCCTCTTGCCCTGCCTGCTATTCACCTGCAGGCTATGCTGTCTCTTATCTGACTGTTCCCTAGGCAGCATCTCTTAGCCCCGTCTCCCAAGGTCTTTCTCATATACCATTACAGGCAGGAAGAGAACATTACAAGTAGTCCTCGCTTAACAACCATTTGTTTAATGATGGTTCGAAGTTACAATGGCCTTGGAAAAAGTGTCTTATAACCTTGCATTTACGACCGTCACAAACCATTGCACCACTCACGGCCATGTGATCACAATTTGTGACCTTTTTAACGATAGTTGTTAAGCAAATCACGGCATTAAGCGAATCACGTGGTCTTTAAACGAATTCTGGCAAAAAAAGTCCATTGGGGAAGCTGGATTCGCTTAACGACCATGTGATTCGCTTAACAACTGTGGTGAATTGCTTAATGACTGTCATAAAATGGTTGTAAAATCGGGTTCAGTCACATTGCTTAATGACTGCCCTGCTTAATGAACAATTTTCCAGACCTTATTGTGGTTGTTAAGCGAGGACTACCTGTAGATAGAAGTTTAAACTGAACTTTGCCTTAATCCACTTTGGTATAAGAGGGACAGAAAACACTGTTAGGCTTTCAAAATTCTGTTACTGTAGCCTACATCAGTAGAGTTCCAGTATTTCTGGTGGAGTCTGTTTCTGACCTCGCCTACCTCAAAGGGTTGACATCAGTTTAAAAAAAATAGTGCTTCAAGCACACCATTGTGGCCCCCATCTTGACTTTTTGGACCATCCCTGACAACACCCCTGGTTTTGAGGAATATCTGTGGTCTGGACACCACATCTCTACTGCTGGGTTCCTTGTCCTTGCACCGATCATTTTCCTGTGAATTCTCCCTGACTAATTAGTTTTGGCACCCCCCTGAAGTTTGGCACTACCTTTCTTCTTTACGGTTGCTTACACTCACCTCAGATATCGCTTGTCGTCTTCTCTCTTCTTCTTTCGAGTGGCGAGACCTCTTGCTTTCTCCTTTTCCTAATTTCCCTGTCCCCTTGGGACAAGACAGAAGCTAGGGCTTGTTTATATTTTCCCCAGTAAATCCATGCAAAATACCTGCATGTGGTTCTGTGTATTTGTGTGGTTGTATTGAGACAGATCTCCACATTCCCACATCCTGCGGACGGTCTTTGGCGTCCATCAGGTTTTACGTCTCGGTGATTCTGCTCAAGATTGGGGTTTCTCAGCTGCCAAGAAGACAGTGGTCTGCAGCTGGATCCAAGGAAGGATTACATTCTTTTCCTGTAACCTCTGTTACCACTGCCTTTCTTTCAGCTGATGGAGGGAGAAGCAGCTGGGGATCTGGGAAGAGTCATGCGATATAGAAAAAGTGGCCAAGGTTGTTCCACAACTGGGAGTCCCATTTATCATCTGGTCAGAAGTTGACAATGGTGGTGGTAGTGACAATAAAGGATGCATGGTGTTCCCAGAAGTCCTCTTAGTACGGGAAAAGCTAGATGGGGAGAACCAGTCTGAACTGAGCATCCTTAGGTTTGTGGACCTCAGTTCCCACAATTCTCAGCAACGACCACACCAGCTGGGGCTTTGGTGCACATCTGCAGGAGCGGTGAGTTTGGTTTTATCAATGAGGAAGTAAAACACGCAGGAAACCTTCTATCGTGGGCTTTTGGGGGATGTCACCATAGGTCCCTCCTGTTGTTTGCTTGGCAGAAGGAAGGAACGGAACCAGGGTGGCCCCTCCATGCGTCTCGCTGGCAGACAGCTCTTGGGAGTGAGAGGTGCAGCATCCATGCGCGAGAACTTCTGATGGCTAATGTGGGGAGTGTTTTCTGCTCTGTGACTGGTTATGGGTTTCCTTCAATTGCTGGCAGGTTGTTCCGTTGCTACAGCCTTAATAAACATGCCCTGGAATGTCCTTTTCCTAATGATTAAAAAAATATATATATTTTGAGCTGCTGCTTCTGTTCACAGGTTGTTGCACAAGCAATTTGGGTTTTTTTGAGAGGTTTCTTTCTTTTTCTTTTTTGCAAGCAGGTCATCATGTTGCAACACCCCCCATTCATTAGAATAATATGCAGATTCTGTGTACTTCGCAAATTAAAACAGCAACAACATAAAGTCTGCCTCATAGCTTCGGAGGCTTCCAGATGGGTCCTCGGTGCTAAGACCGCCTGCGTTAATAAATTCACTTGCGCAGCCTGCCTCTGTTAATGAAGGTTAAAGCTGCATCAGCCGCCAGCGTTTCGTGCCGCTACTTGAGCCTCCATTAATATTTAAGAGGGTTTTTTTTATCCTGTCCACTTATCCTTATTTTGGGTATCAGCCGGACTTAGCTCATAAATCCAGGAGCATTTTCAATTTTAGCTTCTTTCCTCACCCTTGAGAAGGAGGGGAGTCAATATCCCCTTGCATGTAGTCCCTGAAAAATCAGCCTATTATGTAGCATACAAAAGGCAGTCTTCCCCCACCTGCCTTCCAGATGTGTGGACTTCAGCGCCCAGAATTCCCCACCCAGCACGGCTCTGGCTGAGAATGCTGGGATTGAAATCCTCCCATGTGTAGGGTACCCGGTTAGGAAAAGGCTGTATTGATGCTGGAGTGAACGGGTGTGGCAAGGCAACAGAGAGAAACCTGTTCCTATCAGTTGTGACTTCTCGGCAAGGAGCTTGCCTGAGAAGGAAAATGTCAGTCCCAAGCTCTCCGCACCCACGCCCACCGTGGCGTCCACGGCTGAACATGGCTTGTACTGAACCCAGATACCAATCCATCGCCCCAAACTTACGTTTCTGTCAAAGGTCATGAAGCCCCCCCTCCCAAGTGACGTGCGGCGAGGGAACACAGCTTCCCCATCTGGAATTTTTCAGACCACAGCATCCATCATTCCAGGCCACGTGGCTAGATGCCAACTCTGCCAGGATGATGGGAGTCGCATTTAACCCAGCTGGAGCACACTAGCTTAGAAGAAAAACAACTTCTCCCTCATGCCCTTCCCCAGAAGTTGCACAGATGGAGTTACTCAGAAGAGAACTATTTCTGAGTTTGCCGGCAGACTCGGCTGGAGGGGTGGGCCAGCTTGCCCTCTGCAGGTGGTTTGAGACCTGGGGGTTATTGTCCAGGGCATCTGGAGGGCCCCAGGTTGGGAAATTCAGGTGCAATCAAAGGTGTTTCACTTTTCAGTGCACAAATCACCACTGTGTGTTTAGCGCTGTCCAGCCAGTAACCATGGAAACAATGGTCTTTCTCTCTTTCTCCTCCTCCTCCTCCTCCTCCTCCTCCTTTCTCTCCACCGCTGCTCCCCTTCCACAGATGACTCTGGCGACGAGGAGCCCGCCTCGCAGTCTGACAAGAGCGAACTGCACAGCACGCTGAAAAACCTCTCCAGTAAGCTGGAAGATCTCAGCACTTGCAATGACCTGATTGCGAAACACGGGGCGGCTCTCCAGAGGTCCCTGAGTGAGCTGGAGAACCTCAAGTTGCCGGCTGAGAGCGGGGAGAAGATCAAGGCGGTCAATGAGCGAGCCACCCTCTTCCGGATCACCTCCAATGCTATGATAAACGTGAGTGAGGCACGGCTGCTCCTTTGGGGGGGGTTGCCACAGGAAGCCTTCCCTCCCTAGTGCAGGTGGAAGAGCCTTCCCAGGCAGCGAGGGGGAAACAAGAGAAAGGCAAAACAGATGTTGCGAGAGCTCGCGTGTCTGAGCACCCAGACGGGGCGGGTGCATTTTCTTTCTCGTTGAACTGGTCTCGTCCTCGGCTTGTCAGCTCGCACAGTTCTTCATTTCCCTGGCCTGGGGATCTGGGGAGTTGCTATCCCAGAATACCTGGAGCGCAGGCCATTGAGCGGGCTGTTTTTAGCCATTTGCCTTTGAATTCGGGAGACGGAGAGCACCTCCACGTGAGGGATTTCCGTTGGTCCCAGAGCAGCTCCGTGCCCGGTTCTCCCACACGGTTGTCTCCCCTGGCTAGCTGAGGTGGGGCGCAAAAGGAACCGCTCGGAAATCTGCGCATGACCCCAAACGCTGGTGCGCAGCAATGTCTAGCCTTGCTCCAGCACCCCCCCTCCTTCCTATAGAAGTAGCTTTGCCCTCCGTTTGGAGATGCCCCTAAATTGCTCAGGGGCCAAGCATCTTGGCAAGCCACTCAAAACAATAGCATAGCATATCGAAAGGAGTTCCAGTATATGGAAGCAGGGGAGCACAGATTGGATGCCATTTCTGTGGCCCCCCACGGGCTCACGTGGCATCTGTGTCCTTTCGAGGTCAGCCACGGGGAGGATAAAGGCAGGTCAGCTCCAAACAGTTTCTGTGAGCTTGGGAAATGAAAATACTGGCGCTGCACAAGTTTCCCAGGAGTGAAATCCCCAACTGGCACTTTTCTTGCCAAGGGGCATTATTCCAGCCACTCACCTACAGCCCGGCTGCATCCTCGGAAAGGCAGCTACGTGTGTCACCGAGGAGCAGTGTTTTATTTTTGTGACGTCCGTAGAGAACGCCTTAGAGGTGGAACGAACGGAAGGCTGCGTTGCATGTCATGCTTTAGAAAGAATGAGAAGTAATAGCACCCCGATCCTAAAATTGTTCAGTCCTGCTGGCGGAACATTAAAGCCATCTCTCAGTTCCTTTCTTGTTACTTGGAGGTGCCCAGATCTTGGCCTGAAATGTTCTTCGATGCTGATCGGGGTGGTTTGGAGATGCCCAAGGCCCATTTTTTATTTGTAATATTTTTCTAACATGTGCCTCAGTTGTACTCAGTTTTCAGTGCATCTGTTCTCCGCCTGGCAGAGGAATTGCAGACAGTTTGCGCTGGGTCACTATCATCAGAAGGCCCTAATCCCGAATCATGGCCTAGAAAGCCAGCCTTGTGTTCCCACCTGTTCTTTCCAGTTGGGGCAACACTGTTCGGTATGAAGCCATTTGATATTCCTCCATGGCTGCCTGTCGGTCGCTCACCTGCCTCTCCCCAGTAGCTCCCCAACCTGGATGTGTCCCAGAATTCTCAGCAAGAGCTCTGCAGGCCAGGGGATTCTGGGAGTTGAAATCCACACAACAGGAGAATGCCCAGGCTGGGGAAGGTGTAGGCAGCTGTCAGCCTTTGGAATTTGATTCCTGGGTGCGTTTTTTGTTCATAAAGACTTCTTACGGTTTTCAGTCTCTGATCTCATTTGCTGTTCTCACCATTTCAGTATCTTCTGTCTTTCTCCTCCATCCCCATTCCTCTGCACGCCCCAAATACTTTTCCTGCCGAACAGGACAGAATTCCAAAGACTTTTTGCTTCCGATTAATACTGGATTGGGGGCCCTGGGAATCTGGAAGTTGCTTAACATTTGAATTTCACCCTTTGGAGTAAACAAGCGAAGACATTTCTTACTCGGGAAGGCAGGTCAGAGTCACTAGAAGACACATTCCTCCTTGGCCTCAGTTATTTGGATCCTTTGAATTTCCAGACTTCGCTGAAAATACAGAAGCTTCTTTCTCTAAGTGTTCTATAGCTAAGAAATTGTAGGAGGAGAGCCAGGTTGATCTCGGATAGCCAAAAAATCAGGAGGAGTCTGGTAGCCTCTTTTCAGAAAACAAATTTTATTAAAAAGCAGATTCCTTCCAGTGGATTTGTAGGCAATCAGGAGATACTAGACTTCAGTTGATGGTCGCAACCACATCTCTGTCTTGCTACTTGAGTTACAATTTAGGGTTTTTTAATTGATGTTTTATGATTTATGAATGTGATGTTCTCACTGTTTGGGTTGGAAAGTGGTAGTGACATATTTATGTTCCAATGATTAAACTATTTCAGTGAGGTGGTTAAAGAGGTCAAACTAAAAATGGCTACATATCCATAATTTCCCTGGTATCCCCACATGTGGTTTTCTGGATTAAAAGTGCAAATGAGAAGGGAATTTGGAGTCCTGTCCTCTCCTAGTCCAGTAAAGCCATATTTGCACAACCAGCCCCAGGCTAAGTCAGGAAAGGTATTATTCCCCTGGGCAGTGTTCAGAGCAAACATGTTCTGTTTGTCCTCCTCCGTTCAAATCACAGCTATCGTTCATTTATAGATAAAATTAGAATGTAGCTGTTTAGCCCATCTTAAGAGGGGGCGTAGAAAGCTACTACTTCCTCCCTCCTCTCCCCCCCACCCCATAATGTTAAGAAGCTTAACATGTCCATATAGCTTTCTTGGCACAATATGAAAATTGTCTTCTTTTGGGATGTCTAGACTGCAGCCCTGGGGTTTACTCATGGTCTCCCATCCAAATATTAACTTGCAGAGCCTTTTCAAGGTAACGATTCCCCAAACTTTGGGTGCTTTCTTTTTCTTGGCACCAGTGCCAAAGTGGTTTACCATTGCATTCTTCTGGGATGTGCTTTGTCTTTTCCTGATGAGCCTGGTGGTCTCCCATCCAAACAGAAACCAGCTCCAGTCCTGTTTTGCTTTTTGAATCCAGACAAAGCTACTAAGGTTCTGCTCTGAATATTGGATATGTGTGAATCCTGAAAATGAGGGAAGAAAAATATTTGGCAAATTGTAGCTTCTTCTGGAAGATTTGAACCTCACAGTCCTTTTCATCATGTGTCTCTCAGCCTCCAGAGCTAGCCAGATATGTGTTACCTAAAGGGTAGCCTATATATTTCCCATCTGGCATGTAATGTGATTATAAAATTTGATGGAACTTTGTACAGCAGAGCAGTGTAAACAGGCAGTGCAACCTGTCTCCATTTCCTAAATGAACTATCCCAAGGGTTTTGGCCTTCCCCAAGCTGGTGTTCTATAGATGTTTTGGGCTTCACCTAGTGCAAGCCAAGACTTATGGGAGGTGAAGTTCAACACGCAGGAGATGTCACCAAGTTGGAAAAGGCATCTCTGCAGCCATGTCACCCAACATCCATGCACCACCTGAGACTGCCTTTGCTCCCAAATGCCTGGGGTATCGCCCCGGAGACCTCCAAAAGTTGTGATCAGTTTTATTGTTTAATAGGACTCAAGGGGGAACTCAGAACATGTGATGGAATGGACTTAGGAAGGCCACGCTCAGG